CTAGGCCACCACTCACCAGATCTAGGCATCCTTCCAGGAGCCGTGACTGCTGGTTACTGATCCCAGGGCTGCCCACCAGGTCTCACAGAGGTGTCTGGTATTAACCTGTCTACCAGTGCTCTCAATACCAGACTCTCCTCTGTGCTAAGCAGAGGTCGTCATCTGAGCAACAGGAGAGCTCCCTCAGCGGGTCTCTGGCCGTGGAAGCTCTATAAATGAAATGTTACAGGAAGTTCAAGGGTGGTCTGCATTGTAATTACAGTGGATTCCATCTGTAGGTTTACTCTCGAGTTCACAAGCATCTTTATGCGTGAGGGTTATGCCAGCCTCTGCAGATGGTGACATGTAATTCCTAAACTCAAAAAAATGGGCATAATTGAGGGAAAGAAATGAATATTCAGATAATTAAGCCATGGGCTTTTGCTGTGGTGGTGGTGGTTTTGTTTCAAGTATTGGGTGTTTGGGAAATGAAGAATAATCTGGGCTGAGTTACTCAGGTCAAGAATTCTGAGTAAGGGCATTTCTCACCCAACAAACAGCCGAATGCAGGAGAACAAGAGGAAAAGCATGGCATACTTTGAAAATCGCAAATAATTTGTCATGAGATTGAGAGGTAGCTTTAAATTCTAAAAATTCTCCGAATGCTATGCTCAATAATTGGATTTTAATCTGAATGTAGTAGGAAAACATTGGGTGGTTTTTATAGGGGGTGAGATGGTGCCTTGGCGTAACAGCAGTGTGTTGAGTGGGCATGTGGGTGAGAGTGGGGTGTCATATGCTGAGACACCAGTTACGGGGCTGTTGCCTTATTCAGAAGTGTTTTGTTGAATGTCTGCTGAGTTTGGGAATTTTTAAAAACTAGATCCTCCCTCAAAAGGTAGATTTAAAAAGCTATCAAAGAGCCAGGACCTATAAGCTGAGAAAGTCTTTGTCTTTGGATGATCTGGAAGACAAGAGCATAGGTTACAAGAGTGGCACAAAATAAGAATTTGACTGGTATGTTTTCAATCCTGATTTTTTTGAATAAAACAGCCCTGTGTAAGAGAAAGTAATAAGCATATTTCAGGTGTACTTAACACATGGTTTTTTTTTCTTTAATGTTACTGTGAATTCAAGAAGAATAAACCAATTCAAATTTCATTTTCATGCCTGGTTATGAGGGAAAGGCATTGAAGTCCTTCAGTTTTTATTAATGCTTTACTAATGGTAACCGAATGAGTAATAGTTTGTTAAAACAACTTTTGTGTTTCATTACATCTGGGGAAATTATCCAGATTTTTCAGGAGTTTATTATGAGTGGCATATATAGAATTGTTCTTACATTGAGACCTCTGTTTCTCACCACTTCTGTCATTAAAAAGCTGATGAAAATGTGGAAGTCATGATTACACTGTGATAGGAGCTAATTTTCCCATTATCTTCATTTTCCATCTCTTTGAGTACACTTTAGGAAATCCTTAAAATTTACCTTAAGTTGCTAAAAGCAATTCAGCTTTGATTATAAAAGAAGATAGAATGTGATAAAGTAATAAAAGCATTTTTCTTTGTTTTGACACAGTTGTAAGAGATAGGTATGGTGTTTTGTTTTTTGCACATTTTTATTAGGTGAAATTGACATAAGATAAAGTTAATCATTTACAGGGAACAATTCATTGGTATTTAATACAATCACAGTGTTGGTTGTGTTTAGTACAGTCACCACCTCTAACTAGTACCAAACGTTTTTATCACTTCCAAAAGGAAACCTGTACCCATTAACCAGTTTTTCCCCATTTCCCCCCACCCCCCAACTGCTGACAGCTACTAATCTGCGTTCTATGTATTTATCTATCCTGGAACCATACAGTGACTTTTTGTATCTGGCTTCTTTCACGTACCGTTTTCAAGGTTCATCTGTCCTTTTGTGGCTGAGTGATATTCCACCATATGGATATACCATAATTTATCTGTTTATTCGTTGATAGACATTTGAGTTGTTTCCACTTTTTGGCTATTGTGAATAGTGTTGCTATGAATATGCATGTACTTGTATTTGTTTGAATACTAGTTTCAGTGCTTTGGAGTGTATTCCTGGGAATGGAGTTGATGGATCAAATGATAGTCCTGTATTTAACTTCTTGAGGAACTACAAAACTGTCTCTCAGCAGCCGGCCCATTTTACATTCCCACCAGCAGGATTCAAATTTCTCCATGTTCTCACCATGTTTACTATTTTCCATTTTTTGATGATAGCCGTCGTAGTGGGTATGAAGTGATGCTTCATTGTGGTTTTTGTTGTTGTTGTTGTTTTTGCGGTACACGGGCCTCTCACTGCTGTGGCCTCTCCCGTTGCGGAGCACAGGCTCCAGACGCGCAGGCTCAGCGGCCATGGCTCACGGGCCTAGCTGCTCCGCGGCACGTGGGATCTTCCCAGACTGGAGCACGAACCCACGTCCCCTGCATCGGCAGGTGGACTCTCAACCACTGCACCACCAGGGAAGCCCTTCATTGTGGTTTTGATTTGCATTTATTTCCCTGAAGACTAATGGGGTTTAGTATCTTTTTTTTTTTTTTGGAACAGAGAAAGGTTTATTGCAGGGCCAAGCAAGGAGAACAGGTGGCTTATGCTTAAAAAACCTGAACTCCTGTTTAGCATCTTCTCATGTGCTTTTTGGCCCTTTACATATCTTCTTGGGAGAAATGTCTGGTCAGGTCCTTTGCCCATTTTTAAATTGGTTTGTCTTCTTGTTGTTGAGTTGTAGCGTTTTTATGTAGTCTGGATACTAGATCTTTATCAGATGTGTGATTTGCAAATATTTTTTGCCATTCAGTCAGTTGTCACTTTCTTGGTAATGTCCTTAGATGCACAAAGATTTCTAATTTTGGTGAAGTTCAGTTTTTTATTTACTTGTGCTTTTGGTGTCATATCTAAGAATTCATTGTCAAATCCATGGTCATGAAGATACACCTCCTAGGTTTTCTTTTAAGAGTTTTATGGTTTCAGTTCTTATGTTTAGGTCATTGATCCATTTTTTTGTTAAATTAATTTATTTATTTTTGTCTGCGTTAGGTCTTCGTTGCTGTGCACGGGCTTTCTCTAGTCGCGGCAAGTGGGGGCTACTCTTCGTTGTGGTGTGCGGGCTTCTCATTGCGGTGGCTTCTCTTGTTGCAGAGCACGGGCTCTAGGTGCACAGGCTTCAGTAGTTGTGGCTCGTGGGCTGTAGAGTGCAGGCTCAGTAGTAGTGGTGCACGGGCTTAGTTGCTCCGCGGCATGTGGGATCTTCCCAGACCAGGGCTCGAACCTGTGTCCCCTGCATTGGCAGGTGGATTCTTAACCACTGTGCCACCAGAGAAGTCCCCATTGATCCATTTTGAATTAATTTTTGTTTATGGTGTGAGGTAAGGGTAGGTAGGGTTTTTGAACTACATTACCCACTGCTTTTAAATTGGCAAGCACTTTAGAAGAAAAACCTGATTATTTATATTTTATTATGGAAAATTTCAAACATTCTCAGAAGTGGAAGCGTAGACTGAGTCCCCATACACACTTAGCTTCAGCATTTGCCATTTTGTGACCAATCTTGTTTCTCTCTCCCTCCTTCCTTCCTTCTCCCCTCACACACACAAACACACCTGTCAGGTAATTTTGAAACAATCCCAAACATATTTCATCTGTAAACAGAAATATAATGACAAAATGATTATTGTACTCACAATATAGATCTCTTCTTTTAAGTATAAGGATATGTTCGTTTTAGCAAGTTTGGGAACTATGAAAAATAAAAATATCACTCTTTAGATATAAACAGTCAAAATCTTCTGGACTTTCTAACCTACTCTTTCCCATAACTATGCTTCTAAGAATGATTTTTTGTGGCTGCATAGCATTCCATCATGTCAATGTTCTGTAATTTATGTAGCTAGCCCCTTTTATTAAGTATCATCCAGGTTTTCAATATAATAACTGAAAGATATTTTCAATCATGGGATGAATTTATAGAAATGAAATATCTGGCTTAATTAAACATTAATTTTTTTTTAACATCTTTATTGGAGTATAATTGCTTTACAATGTTGTGTTATTTTCTGCTGTGTAACAAAGTGAATCAGCTATACGTATACATATATCCCCATATCCACTCCCTCTTGTGTCTCCCTCCCACCCTCCCTATCCCACCTCTCTAGGTGGTCACAGAGCACTGACCTGATCTCCCTGTGCTATGTGTCTGCTTCCCAGTAGCTCTCTGTTTTACATTTGGTAGTGTATATATGTACATGACACTCTCTCACTTCATTCCAGCTTACCCTTCCCCCTCCCTATGTCCTCAAGTCTGTTCCCTGTGTCTGCGTCTTTATTCCTGTCCTGCCCCTAGGTTCTTCAGAACCTTTTTTTTTTTTTTTAGATTCCATATATATGTGTTAGCATACGGTATTTGTTTTTCTCTCTCTGACTTACTCCACTCTGTATGACAGACTCTAGGTCCATCCACCTCACTACAAATAACTCAATTTCATTCCATTTTATGGCTGAGTAACATTCCATTGTATATATGTGCCACGTCTTTATCCATTCATCTGTCTATGGACACTTAGGTTGCTTCCATAAACGTTAATTTTTAAAGTTTTTTTTAACTCAGTGTTGTAAATTGCTGTGTAATCAAATACCTATTTCATACAGTGTTTGAACTCACCCCTGTTGCCGTATCCTCTTCAGGGTTTCGGTCTGATGAAACTGGTGAACTTATTGGTAACAATTACAGATTATATATAGTTTATATAATTTTTTGTCCTTCTGGAGGAGAGAGATGTACAGTATGGGAAATAGTATTTTTTGCTTCCTTGTAATGGCAAGTTAACCCTGTACTTTAAATCATTTGTTCATTATCTTTGAATTACAGTGACTTTTTTGGTGTTTTGTTTTTTTTTTAAGATGTTGATTCAAATTGACTTTGAGAGATTTTTAATACATGTAACTTGCTTTTTCTTAGCATAATATCTCTTACAATTAAAAAAAATTACAGCTCAAGATATCACTGCAGTGAACAGTCCAAGCTGTAAGAAGAAACCAGATGAAGATTTCAAGGGCCCTTTCAAACCTGCAAAAACCCTGAAAGAAGGAAGTGTCCTAGATGTTCTGAAGAACCCTGGTAAGATAATGGCTGCCCTTGAGATAATCTAAAATCTTAATTGCAAAATCATGATCTCATCTTAATATCATTTGTTAATACTTTGTTGTACTTCAGGCTTTTAAAAAAATGATGCCTAGTTTGATAGGAGATTGGCTTTTGAATGTAGATGTAATCACATGTAACTTTTTAGGTGCAAGACCTTAGAAACTATTTCTTTAGAATTTAAGGACTCTGCACTAAAATGGAATCTCTAAGGGGCAAGTATAGAAGGAGAAAATGTGAATTGCCTTTTAATTAGAGATGGGCCAGTAATTGGAAAAAAGTAAATAAACCTGATGATATACCTGGACATGTCTCTCTCTGAGAGCACTGAACTGCCTTGTTCTCAGATTATTCCCCAGTTGTGGTATATATATAACAAAGCCAGGTGGAAAGGAAACATATGCTGACTGTAACACGCACACACACACACAGGATAGTACTCACTTCAAATAAAATAAGATATGAATGTTAGTGGGTAAGAATTTGAAGATAATGAATAGAAGTCCTCAAATAGGAATAGGTTTTCAGTTTGAAAATCAAAGAGGATAGTATAATTCCAACTGGGATGTATACTATAAGAATATAAAAGTGTTTATAAGATAATCTAGTAGCTCAGAAAGAATTTAGATTTATCCAGCACATGTGTTCATGTATAACTGCATATGAGTTTCAATAATAAGGTTGGATGCTACAGCAAGATTTAGAGGGATTAGGTGTTTTTGGTGTAGCTCCCATTTTATAGATGGGTATTACTGCCTACTAGAGTCTCAATATAGACGGTTTTATGCAGTTATGGGCAGGACTCCAGAATGCCTGTGTTAGGGTGAACTAAGTGGTAGTCAGTCAGCATCAAATGCATATAGGTTATCTTCATAGAAGTTACACTTTGCATTCATAATGCCCACTCCTCCCCTCTTTTAAACTTTTTTTAAATAGCAAAAATTTGGAGAAGTTACGTGTTCTCTTGAGGGAAATCAGGAAAATCCAAAAAAGTGGGAGGAAAAGAAAACTTGTAACACCTTGAAGTGGTTACTGTTAAAATTTTGCCAACCTTAGTGACTCAGGTTAATCATTAACAAAATAGTACATTTTCCTCCTTTGGGAGTAACTGAAGTATGTGGGATTGTTTTATCTTTAGGCAAAAAATAGCTCCAGGCTGGATTATTTCTTGGTACCACTAGAAAACCTCTTTAACAACCTTCTGTATCATCTTTCCCTCTGATTTTCTTTTCCCTTGATGCTAAAGGCTAGAGAAACGGGTGTTTTTTTGGTGTATGTAAAATAAAAGTTAATTGGTCCAGAGTAAAGGATTGAAAGGTCATTTCTACAAATACAGTGTAGTTTGAGTGAAACTCAACTGTTACCAGTTTTGATAGCACAAAGACTTTTCCTCATGGTTTTTTTCCTTATTTCATGGTTCTATGTGTATACCTTAATTAAGTCTCAAATTAGGTATTGGTTGAACTACAGTAAACAGATTCCTAGAGGAAGATGATATACTATAAACCAAACATCTTTTGTAGACTTTTACCTAGGTCTGTCGCTTATTAAATATGTGATTAGTACTAGAAATATAGCTTAGGTGAAAAACTACTTTTAAGTAGTCCATCTTGGACTGTAATAACTCTGTAATTAAGGTAAAAATGTTTCCTCCCAGGAATAATATTTTTATCATTAACAGCTATTACTCTATAATTATTGTCTATTAATATTATTAATATTTATTAATGATTAATAAATAATAGAGAGGCTTTCTAATCAAAACGTGGACTAATCTTTTCCTTCCTACTCCCCTCTTCCCCCGCATTGTAGGTTTCACATCACCAAAGGCAGATTCTCTTGCTGCTCAACCTACCACCACAAGCCTGGTAGTTTATTCAAGACCAGCAATAAGTAGCTTTTCTTCTAGTGGAATTGGGTTTGGGGAAAGTTTAAAACCTGGGTCATCGTGGCAGTGTGATACCTGTCTACTCCAGAACAAAGTTACAGACAACAAATGTGTAGCCTGTCAAGCAGCAAAATTGCCGCCAAAAGATACTGCTAAACAGACTGGAACTGGGACACCAAGTAAAAGTGGCAAACCAACTGTTTCTGCACCAGAGACAGGCTTTGGAGACAAATTTAAACCAGCAGTAGGAACTTGGGATTGCGATACCTGTTTAGTGCAAAATAAACCTGAAGCGGTAAAATGTGTAGCTTGTGAAACACCGAAACCGGGAACTGGTGTTAAGCGAGTCCTTACGTTGCCAGTGGCTTCAGAAAGCGCTGTTACTGTGGCTGCTTCCTCCTCCAGCTGCACTGAGACCACTGGTGCCTTAGGATTTACAGATAAATTCAAAAGGCCCGTGGGATCTTGGGAGTGTCCAGTGTGCTGTGTTTCTAATAATGCAGAAGACAATAAATGTGTGTCCTGTATGTCTCAGAAACCAGGTACGTTTATGGCTGTTTGGAATAATTTTGTTTGTTTCTTTACTAGAACATTTTAATTTATTCTCTGTAAAACAGCTAAGAATAACCTCAATATTTTAGATGTTTCAAGATGAGCATTTCCTCATATGTCTTAATTTTTCTGAACTGTCTTGAAATTAAAATGACTTGCTTGGGACTGAAACTGCATGTTCTCTTAGGAGAGGCTGTGTGTTAAAATCAGTCCAGCATTTGCTTTGACCTCTTTTTTTGTATGTAATTTTATCAGAAGCTTCTTGCTCTTCATGATCATTTTCAAAGTTGGCTAATACAGATGCAAAGGTCTTAGAATGGGGCAATCTTTCTCAAACCTTTACACAGAATAAAATATTCCTTTGTCTCTTTTCCTCTAAGTAGAAGTGAGGATGGCTAGTGGTCATTTACACAGCTGGTTTCATTGCATTATGAGAAGGCTGTGGCTGAATGTTAATGGTGATACCTGTACCTGTATGTGCTATCTGCCAGAGATACTGCAATGATCATAAATTACTGAATCATTAATGAAAAGTTCTATTAGGTAACCAGAAAAATGAAGTTAGAGTTGAGTTTTTCCTGTTTCTGTTCAATTTTGAAAGAGTTACTGAAGATTTACATTGATCTTTAATTCATTTGGAATTAATTCATTTGACTCTGCTGTGTTTGTAATGCTATTATATAATTATTTGGTACAGATATATGGTAACATGGATACTAAATAAAACATGTTATGAGTATCCTGGGAATCATACTTCCTATTTTTATTGCATTATCATGGATGTGTGATTTTATGTCTGCAATGGAAAGCTCTTGAGTTAATAGCCCACATCCCTCTCTTAACACCAGGGGTGAGACATATTTCTGATTCCTGCTAGACATCTCTACAAGAATAAGATTTCAGAATCTTTTTTCCGAAATATTTTTCTCTTTCCATCTGGCATTCTTCCTCTTCTCCTTAACAAAAAAAAGAAAGAAAGCTCTTGATACGTGTAGGAAACCAAAATTTATTCTGAGTTGATGGGTCAAACATATTTTTGATAAGTCACCTGGTGGCTTTTTGGAGGATAGATTTGAAGGCAGCAAAACTTGGAAACCAGAGGGCAGGTTAGGAAGTTGATCAATAATATAGGTAGAGATAGTAGTGATATGTACTAATAAAAGCAAATGGGGTATAGAATGATGTACGGTTGAAGATATGTTGATTTCAAGCTGCTGAAGTTGACAGATATGTGTGAGGCCTTTGGATATACTGACAATGGACCCTCTGGACTGGAGATGGAGATTTGGGAGTCATTAGCCCATAGTTTTCAAGTAAGTCATGGGAGTAGAGGTGATGTAAGGTGAGTGAGCAGAGCAAATAGAGAAGACAGCCTAAAACTGAACTCTGCCAACTTAAGAGAGTAGCAAGAATAGAACTTTGGAGCAGTTAATCTTTTAAATGAATAACCAGAGAGGAAAAACAAAAACCACGTGGTACTAGTTGCTTTTTAGGAGGATGGATTTCAAGGGAACAAAACCAGAGGTCTCAATAACAAGGCTATTAAGCAAGAGATGAGGGGGCTTGAACCAGAAGAGCAGTAGAAGGGTCAGAGAAAGAGAATGAAATAGATTGGAGAGATGTATAAGGGAAGAGTTGTCATCTAGCCAAGGTAGCCAGGTGGATAGTGGAACTACCAACAAAGAGATACCACAGGGATGAAAGCCAGAAGTGTGGGTCTCAGGTATGGATGGGAAAGATTTTGTTGGTGGTTAAAATCGTCAGAGTAGATGAGAGCTCATGAGAAGGGCAGTGGACCAAAGATGGCACAATTTTATTGGCAAGATGGAAGAGAACATACCAGTAAAACACAGATCAGGTAACTGGGAAAAGTGACAACAGCTAGAGGACATTTAGAGAAGTGGGGTTACCAGAATGAATGGCTCCACTCTCAACACTGTATTTCTTCACGCAGCTGTGCCTTGCTGAGCCATCCTTCCTGTGCCGCCGCATCTGCCCACAAAATTGCTAGTTCTGCTTAAAAATGTAAATACCACCCCTGTGAATCCTTCTCCTATCCCATAGTAATTTCTTCTCTGTACTCTTGTCTAGATCATTTGTCACTCTCCGTCTTAGTGATGGTGCTGCTATGCATTTATGTTCGTTTTGCTTTCCCCCCTTTTAGACCAGAAACACCTTTAGAAGTTAAGCAACATTTTATTCATCTCGATATCCCCAGAACCTGAGCACGTTATGGTGCTTGATAAATGTCTATTAAATGGCTACCTTATAACAGAAATGCCATGAACATAGTAGGCAGTGTTGAGTTGAATTGCGAAGTGGATAAAAGAGCACTTCTGTGCAAAAATAGTCATTTCAAAGCCAGAGATCTGTGCTTTGAAATCTTGAAATGAATATTGCCTGGGCTGTGTGTTTTATGAGTCAGGCTGTTGCCTACAATTGAGAATGTATGTTTTATAATCTGTGATGTGTAACAAAATTGGACAGATTATTAAGGAAAATTCAGGCTTTTAGGCTTTGATTTGTGAGCATGGTTCTTAAAAACCATGGCTGTTCAAACTGGGGATTAAAAGGGGGCTCATCACTGAGCAAGGTGAGTGTGAGTTGATCTTGTGTAAGATTAAAAGAAATCTGAGATGTCTGTACTGTTTTTAACAATGTGATGTTTAGATTTCTGGCATTTTCTCTTAATAGGAAACACATTAAAAACTGTACATTTAGACTTAGTGGTGTCATTGAGATCTTGACATAATGTAAATCCGAATTTTCCTGTATTTCCCCATTATTTTTTAGGAAGTTCAGTACCTGCTTCAAGTAGCAGCACTGTCTCTGTCTCTCTGTTGTCTGGAGGCTGCCTAGGATTGGACAAGTTCAAGAAACCTGAGGGAAGCTGGGACTGTGAAGTGTGCCTAGTGGAGAATAAAGCAGATTCTAACAAATGCGTAGCATGCGAGAGTGCAAAGCCGGGCACAAAGTCTGAGTTTACAGGTAAGGTGTTGGCAAAGTGCCTGCTTAGATTACCACTTTAAAGTGAAATATTTACAAACAGCTTTGGTTTTAAAACTATTCATTCTCTGTTGAAAATTCATGTAAAATGAGCTGTTGTCCTGCACTTTTAGCTCATATCTGTCTCTGAATTACTATGCAGTTGAATTGTTTGCTAGTCTGCAGTGAAGATAAGTACATTTTCTATTTTATTTGTTTTCATTTGAGAAGGAAAATGCTGGTTGCAGCCCACTGAATTAATTAACATGGCTAAGGGGATACAACTCGTTTGAAAAACACTGCATTTGGGTTTTAGGAGATCACTAAAGCTCCTTATGTGGCTGCCACCTTATGGTCCCTTGCCCGTTTTCCCCACCTGTAGTACAGTAATCACCATACCTTTAAACCTTCCTTTTGAGGCAGAAGTGCCTTTGAGATCCTTTGAGTCAGGGGTGATAACTAGTTATTGTCTTTGGCACCTTTATTTTTAGCTTTCTGTCTAATATCACTTAAGGTATTTCAGAGACCGTGTGGGTAGCCATTTGCTTTTGAGATTTTTTTTTTGGGTGCGTTGGGTCTTTGTTGCTGCACGTGGGCTTTCTCTAGTTGCAGCGAGCGGGGGCTACTCTTCGTTGTGGTGCGCGGGCTTCTCACTGCGGTGGCTTCTCTCGTTGTGGAGCACGGGCTCTAGGCACGCGGGCTTCAATAGTTGTGGCTCGTGGGCTCAGTAGTTGCAGCACGCGGGCTCTAGAGCACAGGCTCAGTAGTTGTGTGGTGCTTGGGCTTAGTGGCTCCTCGGCACGTGGGATCTTCCCAGACCAGGTATCAAACCCATGTCCCCTTCACTGGCAGGTGGCTTCTTAACCACTGCGCCACCAGGGGAGACCTGCTTTTGAGATTCTGATATAATTTTTCAAATAAGTTTCTTATGGAAAGAAAGTGGGGTGGGTAGTCATTAAAGGGGGAAATCTGAAGACAAGCGATTTTTACAAGCCCTTGGCTGCCACTTGTCTTTATTTACATGTGGGTAAACAGAGTAATGGATGAATACCTTGGCACCGTTTAATGATTTTTGTGTTGAGCCAGTCATTCAAGTGCTTCATTTCTAGTTTATTCCACTACAGAGAAGAATTCTGAAACCAAGACTTTGTTCTTGTCAGTATAGTATTTTTATTTTTTAAAATATTGCTTCCAGGGCTTCCCTGGTGGCGCAGTGGTTGAGAGTCCACCTGCCGATGCAGGGGACACGGGTTCGTGCCCCTGTCCGGGAAGATCCCGCATGCCGTGGAGCGGCTGGGCCCGTGGGCTGTGGCCGCTGAGCCTGTGAGTCCGGAGCCTGTGCTCCGCAACGGGAGAGGCCACAACAGTGAGAGGCCCGCGTACCGCAAAAAAAAAAAAATATTGCTTCCACTCATATAATTCTAGTTCTTTGGTGCTAAAAATCTTAATTCTTAAGTAAATAACACATGTGCTCACAGGATTTAAAAAGCAAATTATGACAGGATTCCCAGTGAAAAGTCTCTCTCTTGTCCCTATTGGCTCATTTTCCATCCTTCCTGCTCCACCAGTGGTAATAGCTATCTGTGGTTAGGTTCTTGTAACTCTTTCAGTGTTTCTTTATGCACATCACAAGCAAATATACTTCTTTTCTCTCTATTCTTACTTCTCTCTACCTTGTTAGAAAAGGTTGTATACCACACCGCCTTTTTGCACCCTTGATATTACCACAGATTAGCTTGGACTTTGTTCTTCATTTACAGCTGCCTGGATTGCATATGGCATTCTGCATATCTTTGAGTTTATCATTCAAATAAAGACTCAGCTGTAGACTTGCTGGGTCAAAGGGTACATGTGTCTGTAATTTGGGGTAAATATTGGCAAGTTGCCCTCCACAAATTTTGTGCGGATTTACACATCCACCTGCCATGTCTGGAGTGTCTGTTACTCCTAGTCTCATCACCAGCACTGTGTTATCAAACTTGTTTGATGTCTGTCAGTCTGATAGATGAAATGTGGCACATCAGTGTAGTTATGAGTATCGAGATGCTGAATATGGGCAACTTGGTTCATGTTTACTGCCATTGTTAAACTAATACTCTTCGAAGTAGGCCTTTTCAGAGTTGTCCCATGTCCCTTTACTTTTCAAGGTTGACATTCCGTTTGAGAGAGTAGTATTAATTCATTGTCTTTTTGGTGTTTCTTATATTTTTGAAGGCTTCACCCCATCTTCCTCATCTTCGAACCCAGCAGCCTCATCCTTCAAATTTGGTATCCCATCATCCTCTTCTGGGCCTTCTCAGACTTTAACAAACACTGGAAATTTTAAATTTGGAGATCAAGGAGGTTTCAAAATAGGTGTGTCATTAGATTTTGGGTCTGTAACCCCTTTGAGTGAAGGCTTTAAATTTTCTAAACCAATAGGAGATTTAAAATTTGGAGTTTCATCTGATTCTAAACCTGAAGAAGTTAAAAAGGATAGTAAAAATGATAATAATTTTAAGTTTGGACTTGCTTCTGGTTTAAGCAATCCGCCTTCTTTAGCTCCATTTCAGTTTGGGGTGTCTAGTCTTGGGCAGCAAGAAAAGAAAGAAGAACCGCCGAAATCTTCATCTGCAGGCTTTGGCTTTGGTTCCGGTGTCATTAACCCTCCCCCTGCTGCTACTGACACCACAGTGACCTCTGAGAGCAAGAGCAGCTTCAGTTTTGGAACCGTGGACACCAAGGGTGTCCCAGGGGCTCCTTTCACATGTCAGACGCCAGAAGCAAAAAAAGAAGAAACCCCTGCCTCCAAAGGAGGGTTCACTTTTGGCAGCGTGGACCCTGCCCCCCTGCCATCTGCCTCGTTGTTTGTTTTGGGAAGGACAGAAGAGAAACAGCAAGAGCCTGTCACGTCTACATCTCTAGTGTTTGGGAAAAAAGCTGACAGTGAAGAGCCAAAGTGTCCACCAGTGTTTTCCTTTGGGAACTCAGAGCAAACCAAAGACGAGGGTTCTTCCAAGTCTTCGACCTTTAGTTTCAGTATGGCAAAGCCATCTGAGAAGGAATCTGAACAGCCAACGAAGGCCACTTTTGCTTTTGGAGCTCAAACCAGTACTACAGCTGGTAGGTATTAAACATTGTTGTTGTTTTTTTTTTTTTTTTTTTTACAAGGTGTCAACAAAGGTAGCAAGTCAAGGAATGGTTTATACTGGAAATAGTTGAGAGAGTACCAGTAATAGAACTCTCTGGGAAGCAGCCAAGGATTCAGCTCCTTCAGAATCCCCCCCGTGATTCTCATGAAGTTATCTGCATATCTAATTTTGAGAAACACAGCTCTAATGGAAAGCCCACGGTATTTGCACATTTGTCCGTGACTTACTCTCTTCTGTTTGGGCTTTTATAATCAGAATTGACATATACTGTTCAGGAAAATAAGCATTTTTTCTTAAGCTCATGAAATATTTTTTAACTAATGTACAGGCCTTCATTTACAAATAGAGATAACCAGTCTTCATCTGGCATTTAAGGAACATAGACAACAAATATGATAAATCCCTGAGAAATAGAGGTGATTATGAAAACTAAGATCTGGAAGAAAAAAATGAAATAGTATTTTTAAAAGTTAAAGAAACATGGTTTGTGAAATAAAATCATTGTGTGGACTGAGGAGCAGGGGGCGGGGGAAAACAGCTGATAATTGGATTAGTGAACTGGAATTTCCCAGAACACAATGCAAAAGAACATGAACACTTTTGAATAATAAATTAGAAACACAAGAAAATGAAAAATTAACCTGAAAAAAAAAGTATGGAATTCCACACATAGGTGTGAGCAGTTTTTGTCTATAAAATTCTACTTAAATTTTAACACACCCTTCAAAGGAAACAAAAACTAAATTATACATTATTATTTAGAAAGGAATAAAAATGAGATAGGGTCTAATCGAATTTAATCCTGGTATCGCTATACTGTTTCCATTGAAATAGACATTTTTAACGTCCTATTAAACCACCTGAAAGTGAGCTAACATGTTCCATTTTCTGTAAGTTATACCAGTGCCCATACCACAATGTGACCAGCCCTGTCTAGTAAATAGTGTTGGAACTGAGATGTTATTGGAACAAGTTTAAAAAAAAAAAGTCTTCTACTGAAGGTAGCTGGATTCAGGGTCACCATATAAAAAATCATTCTCTTTTCTCCAAATCAAGAATAAATAGTTGGACAGCATTTCCCATTTGTATTTACTAACATTTCCAATTTGTATTTTATAATATCAGCAGAACCTGCAACATGCTAAAGAATTAAGAGAACATAAAAGGCGTGTTTTATACTTGTTCCTGAGTGAGAATATCCTTTACTCTCCACCTCACTCCCAATATAATTTCAGTTCTTAGAGGAATTTTTGTGGAGCTTGACAAGCTAAAATAATTCTAAAATTCACGTGGAAGGGAAAATGTATAAGAAATTTTGGGGAGAAGGGTACACATACAGTCAGGTAGGTTTGCCCTACTAATATCAAACAATACTACAAAGTTACAATATTTAAAATAGTAACAGTAACTGTAGAGGTTTAGAAGTTTAATACGTGGTAAAAGGTGGAGTTACAAATTAGTGAGCAAAAGGGTACACCAGTCAATAAAGGCGGCAGAGAAAATTGGCCATTGTTCAGATAAATTGGCCAAGTTACAATCCTGCTAACATAAATTGCGAAATCAAATTTATAAAAGTGTAGCTATCTCCTATTGTCTGAATTTGTTATCCAAAGTATCCAGTTAGATTTGGATTTAAGGAATATTTTTTCTTTTTATTAATCTGAATGCCAAAGGTTTTGCTATGTTAGACAAAATTCATAAGCCATAAAAGAAAAGATGGATATATTTGACTATATCAGAATTTAACATAACAGATGTCCATTTGATGAATGAATCTATATTGAAAACTTAATGATTCTGTTTTCTAATGGACTCGTATTAGACTTTAGGCTAGGAAAAAATGCTTTCTGGTATTACTTGTTTTTAAAAGTTTTTGTTTATTTCTTAATTTCTGTCTTATAGATCAAGGTACAGCAAAGCCAGTTTTCAGTTTCTTGAACAACAGTTCCTCTAATTCAAGTACACCAGCCACTTCAGCTGGTGGTGGCATATTTGGTAGTTCCACCTCATCCTCCAGTGCGCCTGCGGCTGCCTTTGTGTTTGGACAGGCCAACAGTCCTGTGAGCAGCTCTGCCTTTGGGAACTCTGCCGAATCCAGTACATCTCAGTCTTTGCTATTTTCTCGAGAGAGCAAACCAGCAACCACGTCGAGCGCGGGCACAGCTGTCGCCCCATTTGTCTTTGGTCCGGGTGCCAGCAGCAGTGATACTGCCGCCTCTGGTTTCAGCTTTGGAGCTCCCACCACATCGAGCTCTGCAGGTACTTTTAAAAAAGAAGAGACATGTTAGTTTGAATGGCTTTCATTGTAAGCAGATGAACTCTTAGCAAATAATACCACAAAAGAGCGTGGCCGCTTTTAGGTCATCTCTACCCAGGGTGTTGTAGTTATTCACTCTGTGGAATGATGAGCATTCTGTGTATAGTTTAAGTAACTCTTGGAAGCAATATTTCTAATCTCATTAGGAGTATAATCTTTAGTTTTTTCAAGTGTTTCTTGTCTTTTTGGGGGGTTTTGTTTTGTTTTTCTTTGCAATGTTAATTTGTAAATAGCCAGACACTGAAGGTTATTTTAATAGACATTAGTCCTCATTATGCAACGGATACATAGTCACAACATTAGCTGATTTCTGCAGTGTGTCACGCTTCTGATGGCAGATCAGTTGTCTTCTTAGATTTATCTCTTTAAAGACCTAAAAATTTTGGGCTGTTAAGGTAGGAATCTTGTTAATGAAGTTTTTGTTTATTTGGATTTTACATGGTTTTACTAAATAATGGTAGAGAGAATTGTATTCTTAATCAGTATTCAAAACTTGTCTTGATAAGATCTGTTCAGCAAGGTAAGAGTCTGGAAAGAAGCTTGAAATGTGCCTTTCAGTTTATAGCGATTTCTTGAGGCTTATCTCATTTTAACCATCATGGTAATTTCAGTATTTCTGTGGGCCTCTAGGATCCTCCTTTGTATTCGGCACTGGACCTTCAGCACCATCTGCCAGTCCAGCGTTCGGTGCTAACCAGACCCCAGCATTTGGACAAAGCCAAGGTGCCAGCCAGCCTAACCCCCCAGGCTTTGGGTCTCTGTCATCTTCAGCAGCATTATTTTCTGCTGGCTCTCAGCCTGCGGCACCTACTTTTGGGACAGTGTCGAGCAGCAGCCAGCCTCCTGTGTTTGGACAGCAGCCTAGTCAGTCTGCATTTGGCTCAGGAACAGCTCCTAATTCCAGTAAGTATGTAGTAGTCATGTCCTTTGTTTCCGCATTTGGGTTCTGTATGTCTTAAATACAATGTTTTTCTTTGAACTTTGAAACCATGCATGTCTTTTTTTTTTTTTTTTTGTCTCTTGTACTTGGCAGAACAGAGATGTGTATTACCTATAAACAGCATTCCCAACTTTCACACAGTTAAGCACTTCTTTTTGGCTGCATTGGGTTTTCGTTGCTGTGCGCGGGCTTTCTCTAGTTGCGGTGAGCAAGGGCCACTGTTCGTTGTGGTGCGTGGGCTTCTCATTGTGGTGGCTTCTTCTGTTGCGGAGCACGGGCTCTAGGTGCGTGGGCTTCAGTAGTTGCGGGACGTGGACCCTAGAGCACGTGGGCTTCAGTAGTTGTGACGCACGGGCTTAGCTGCTCCGCGGCATGTGGAATCTTCCCGGACCAGGGCTCGAACCCGTGTCCCCTGCATTGGCAGGCGGATTCTTAACCATTGCACCACCAGGGAAGTCCCCCTCAATTTACTTTTAAACACACCTGTTGAGATTTTACTTCTACTTGTATTACTTTTTAACTTCCGAGTGGTCCTCTTTGTTCTGTGGATGTCTCCTTTTTATATCCTTCTGCTTTTGTTTTAGAAGCGTTTTCTATTGATCTCTTGAAGATATTAATGATGCAGAGGTTTTTTTCCCCCTTCTTAAAGCGTTTGCTTAGTCAGTTTTCTCCAAATTGCTTTTCTTTATTATTGTTTTGGTCTCAGTGTTTCTTATGAAATACTTTCCTCACGTGTTTGGTGCTTCTTGCCTCTCCACTTGCAGTGTCTGGGGTTTGTTTTAATTGTAGTAAGCGTGTTTAACGTGAGCTCTGTCTACTCTTTCAGCAAAGTAAGTGCGCAGTGCAGTGTCGTTAACTCGGCTCAGTATTGTGCAGCAGAGTTCTAGGATGTACGCGTCCTGCATGACTGACACACTATACCTTTTGAATAGCAGCTCCTCATTTCTTCCCACTCCCAAGCCCTCCTCTGCAGCCACCATTCTTTTAGCTTCTGTGAATTTGGTTATTTTAGATACCTCATAGAAGTGAAGTCACGTAGTACTTGTTCTTCTGTGATTGGCTTATTTCACTTATGTCCTCCAGATGCATGCATGTTTTCCCATATTGCAAGATTAACATTCCATTTTATGTATATATGTTATTTCCTTTATCTCTGTATCTGTCTATGGATATTTAGGTTGTTTCTACATCTTGGTCATTGTGAATAATGCTGCAGTGAATGAGAGTCCAGCTATCTTTTTGAGAGCCTAGTTTCAAGTCTTTTGGGTAAATACCTAGAATGGGATTGCTGGATCATATGGTGGTTCTGTCTTTAACTTTTTGAGGAACTTCCATACTGTTTTCCATAGTGGCTGCAGCGGTTTACATTTCTACCCACAGTTCACAAGGGCTCCCTTTTCTCCACGTCCTTGCCAACACTTGTTATTTCTTATCTTTTTGGTAATAGCCATTCTAAGAGGTGTGAGCTGATATCTCCTAGTGGTTTTGATTTGCATTCCCCCCGATGGTTAGTGAGGTTGAGCATCTTTTTATATTTACCCGTGTGTTGTCTCCGGAGAAATGTCTATTCAGGTTCTTTGCCCGTTTTTTAATTGGGTTATTTGAGGGGTTTTTTGGTTTGGTTTTGGTTTTTGTTTGTTGGTGGGGGGGAGGTTTGCTCTTGAGTTGTAGGAGTTCGTATGTATTTTGGATATCAGCCCTTTATCAGATATATGGTTTGTGAATATTTTCTTCCATTCTACTTATAACTTTATGAGTGCAGGACACCTAAATACCACTCAATAATTCATTGTATGTGGTTAGGGCTTACAGATCTTGAATATCATTGTAGGTTTATCTAATAACTGGCTTGTCCTCTTGGGAAGAACTGGATGCTAGTACAATATCTTTAGGTCTTTCCTTTCAGACTGCCAGATTTCCCAGAGAAGATTCTTCCGGTCTCCTTCCTGAAGGGTATATATACTCCTGATTGCCAGTGGTATGGGAGCTGAGTCAGGGCAGAAGGCTGCCGCTCTCAATATTCATTGTGTCAACCTATTCTGAATGCTTCTGTTTTCAATATGGTATCTTTGCCTTTATGTGTGATGTCCCCTGGTCCAGAGGCCTCTCCAGAGACTAAAGTTCTATTCTTCTGCTGGGTAGAGGAGATTTATTATCCTGTTTGGTGCTGGGGAGGGATTGATCTAGGTATCTGCTTCTTAAACAGATAATCTACCATTCTGCTGGGGTTTTTTTCAGTCACACCTTCATTCTCACTTCCGGAAGTACCTGGAACCTAAACCTTTTGGGTATGTTTAGTGTAAATGGAAAGACTTCTGTGCTTTCCCTTGCTGCTAGTTTAGTACTTGGCTCCAGTTAGCCTTCCAGCTTCAAAATTTTGTTGTGTTGTCTCCTCTCTCCATTTATTGTAAAATTCCCTTTACTGTTATGTTAACGTAATTTTGAAGAAGATAGAGGTAAGTATGTTTGTTGATTCCACGGTCTTAGCGAAAAGTCCACTTTGCCCTTTTTTCCTTGGTCATGGGTGAGTTAGGTCACTTGTTTGAGGGTGTCAGGTATATATTGTGTGAGTGGAGAAAATACTTAATTTTCTTTAAGTGACCATAAGAGCTTTAACCCTTTACAGGTTTTTGTATGTAAAGGTCAGAGTCATTACTAGAAGAACCATCATTTTTACCTTAATAAAGTTTTTCTGCTTCATCTATTGCAGGTTCTGTTTTCCAGTTTGGCAGCAGCGCTACAAATTTCAACTTCACAAACAATAATCCATCAGGAGTGTTCACGTTCGGCGCAAATGCCAGCACACCTGCAGCCGCAGCCCAGCCCTCTGGCTCGGGGGGCTTTCAGTTTAGCCAGTCTCCAGCGGCGTTTTCTGTGGGGTAAGAGAGCTTTTTGTTGAAATGGAGAATTTAACATAGTGAGGGTGCGTGTTTGTGTGTACGTGTATAGAATCACCAAGGTGCAGTATGGTTGAGGTAAAATCTATGTTCTCCATCAGTTTACCATATTACAATTTTGGAGGATCATGGCCTAAGAAAACTAGCAGGAGGGGGAGAGAGAGAGAGAGGGAGTGTGTGTGTGTGTGTGTGTGTGTGTGTGTGTGTGTGCGTGTGTCTCTCTCTTGAGGGTATGAGGTGTAGCAGAAAGTAGTGTCCCCCACCCCATCACCAGTCACATTTAGTGTTACGATTGTGAACTTTCATCTGAGCATCATGTCACATTACAGAGTTTTTGTTTTTCACAGGTCAAATGGGAAAAACTCATTCTCTCCTGGAACTGCAGTTTCTGGTCGCAAGATAAAGACTGCTGTTAGACGCAGGAAATAAAGATCTTGATGGTGTTATACACACTGTTTTAACAACAGCTGGTGCCCTACTTTCAGATTCTGGATTGTACTACGTGCTGGGTTATCTGAGGTCAGATCTTTAATTTTGGAATTTTCCTCCTTTTTTCTTTACAGAAGCCCCAACCTCACCTCTCCCACCCCCTTTTAAAAAAATAATAGCTAGACTGGTGACTTATTCTTCAGCAAAAATGTTTTATGATCCAGCAAATTATTCACTGGTTTGGCATAGGCTGGCTGAACCCAGGAATCAAGCCCGCTCAAGAGAATGGCTTTGTATACAACCTCTTTTTCTGCACCACCATGTGCGTTGATATGCGTTTTATGGAACGCATTGAAATTGTAATTATATCTGAGGAATTCTGTATAGATTAGAGGATGTTGAAATGAATGATTTCTATGCTGAGTTTGTGCTGGTGTATGTGTGAAGTGAGTGAGTTGGGTGTATTGTGCACTAAAATTTTCTGATAGAGGAAGCCTGATTAAAGAATGGTCCATGCTAAGGAGTTGTTAGATCTAGTTCGTTCTCCATTTAATAATTATATGCTATTTCTATATTGGCATTCTTCTGACTATCACCTGTCTTGCCTTTTTCATTATTTTATTATGAAACTTGTGTAAATACAATTTTGTTTCTGTACTTTTTTGGCATAACATAAATCTGTGAACTTGAAATTTTAATTTTGTGTTAGAAAGTTTTTTTCGTTGTTTAGTCTTGTCTCAGATTTTATTATGTAAATCCCATTATTCAAAGTTGCCTAAATCCATTTGGAAATCTTTAAAAAAAAAAAAATTGGGGATTCTTAAAGTGAGTTTATTGGCTTTTCTGATCCAGTTTTTGTTTGGACCAAAAACCAGTATTGTACAAAGTATTAAGCATATATTTTTATATTTACTGAAATGGACTGTGGTGACTTTGGATAATAAGGAAAAGTTTAATATTAAAGCCATGTTTATTACAGTATAATTAACATGTTAAACCATGGGATAAATGCCATCAATAAAAAGTTATGAAATACGTTTTGTTCTAGTGTTAAATCCTAGTGAAGGTATGAGTGTTAGTGGAAGGGAACCTTTTTATGAAGGTTAACAATGGTCAGTTAGAAGAAAAATTCTGAAGAATACATTGAAGTGATTTGGACAACTCCTAACTGAAGGGGAAGTGTCTGAAGATAACCCTGCTTTATGTCTGGTGCTAGGAATCGCACCTGCTTTGCATATAAATTGATACCTTTTTAAAAGTTGAAAATAAACACACGCAGCCATTTGTTTGTATCTTCCTTGATAGGTGGCTAGACAGTGTTTTATTGATAGAGTTCTTGGAGATGCATGCCCAAAATAGCCCACAAAAACTTCAGTGGTCATTTTGTGGAATTTCTTTTGGATTATTTTATCGATTTTTTTAAACTAGATTTCTTTCCTATGGTCCATAAAAGTGCTCTTGGGACAGCGTTTGATAATTGTATTCTTCAATCTGTACATATGATTATTCTGTGGCGAATTTTACTTTGCCGAACTTGTGGTTAAATTCAGTACTTTAAAATGTTTAAGAGCTTTTCTGTGTTTCCAGTGACATGGCTTCTCTTACTGAAAATGTCTTAGGCCATCATCAAATGCTGGTTTCGGAGTAGGAATTTTGTATTTATAATTCTCACCTTATTAAATAATGTACGTGTGACATGAACCTCTTCTGGGGGCAGATGATGGTGAATGCTGAAAGAAGTAAACTGGAAACCTGTGGGGTGTTGATGCTGAGAAGTTAATGCCTAACTAACCTGCATGTTCGTTCACTCTTAGCCATTCTTTAGGTCGATATGGATGGGAATATTAGACTTTCTATTCTGGGAAAGATTTTTCATTAAAAATGTGCTGGAAATATTTCATTTTATTTAGTAATTTTTTTTTAAAAGCAAGTAACTGAAAACCAAACTTAGGGTGGCTTATTTTATGAATGAAGTCTGGCCCCCAGAACTGAGATCTCTAGGGCTAGAGTATTTGGGACTTCGGTAGGACTTGTCTTTTCGTGTCCACTGCTTTAACTCTGAGCCTGCACACGGCAGCTGTAGAAAACATTCGTGGTAGCAGCTCCAGCCTCAAATCAGTCCCTGCTTAAGCCCAGCAGAGGTATCTCTTCGTCGGACTGGTACAGGCTGTAGACCCACCCCTGTGGCTGTAATAGCAGCCTTGGGTTCCATGCTCCATACACAAATGAAAGTCAAGCGCTGTCTGTGGAAGAAGGGGAAACGTTATGGAAAGAAAACAATAAAAGCCCACTTCTCGTGCTGGATCAATGAGGAATTGTTTTTAACTGAAAATAATCTCTGAAGGTAAGAAAGGCATATGCAGAAAGATGGAATCATCAGGTATGTTTATATAATTTGATTTACAAGCGGGTCCGTTGTTCTCACTGAATGTACATCAACATGCTTGGTGAGGTGGGCCAAATGTATATCCTGGGACCTGCTCACCAGAGACTGATGCATCACTGGGTCCAGGTAGGGCCCCAAGTCATTACATGAGCACCTGGAAGACTTCTGATGCATGAGGTCCAGGCATGCCACTCTCAAGTGGTAGGTTGGTTTTTTAGTAATTTACAGTTTGGGGCACTAAGAAGTACAATTCAGACAACTGAAATAAGTCTTTAGCTATTTGTTACAAATTTCTCTTGGAATTATTCACGGAATTAGGATTTTATTACTTGAAATAAGTGTTGGACTAATTTTAGGAATTTGTAGCCAGGCCATAAACTTCCTGGTTTAGCCTGGGGAAAAACTTATGTTTTCTTTAATTGTATCACTATGTCATGTGCTGGGCCTGTTTGGAAACTGGCGAATTTGGTACAGTAAAATTGATAAAAATGGGTGTGTTGGGTCTAGCTACACACACCAGCTATATGTACCACGTCAGAGCTTTCATTTCCTTGTAATACGGGGCAATTTTTATAAGCTTACCTCAGACATCCACTGTGGTTTCCAGAATGTGTAGTAGTTCATGGCTGAGGTGCTGACAGCACATTGTCTACAGGATTCAGACCACGCCACAGTTTAACTACATTTAAGTTTATCCTTTATTATCTTTGTGTTTCTCGAGGAACCTGTTGTGTGTCCTGTCCTCGTTTTGTTTGCAAAGGTCTGAATAGGGAACGCTTTCAAGACCAGACTAGGATTAAATTGCCCAGCTCAGTCTTCTACTAGCTACGAGACCCTGCCTGCTGGGTTCCTCTCATTTGTAATGTGGGTCCTTAGTATCTTGCACTGCGGTTGGAATGGTTACTTACTTACTGCGGTAAGGAACGGACAGGATTAGTTTAACATTAAAAGCTTAGTCATCTACAGCTAACTTCTGAGTGACTTGCTAAAAGAATATATCTCAAAGTGGATGATTTTGTTTTTTGATAGACCTCTATTTCTGAAAGCATTCATCTCCTGAAGGCAGAGAATGCTAGAGCAGCTGTATTTGGAAGCAAGAGATTCTGGAGCAAACCTCAAAGAAACAGGCAAAACACAAAAGCATTGGTGACCAGGTATTTATTGAGACAAAGAATACAAATTGGTGGCAAATTATTAAAAACAGAATGTTGAATTTTCATTTATAGGCAGGCCATCAGATACTGTTTGTGGATCAAGCCATACTATATAATGAACTGCAAAGAAATACGCACACAGCTTGAGATGAGGAACTTTACCCAGGCAAGCACGTATTGCAAAGATTTTGGCCTTTGGTATGGGCTGGAGGGTGGGAAATGGCAAGTAACTGAAGTATTTGCCAGATTTTAGGAATACTGCTATTATTTAGGAATATTCTTTAAAAGGAACAACAGCCTGTTTTCACAGGGGTAAGTGTAGAATAAAAAAAGTTAATACATTCCCATCAAAAAGCCCTTTATTCCCAAGTAGTTTAATTTTCAACTCCTGTCTTCCTTTTGCTGGAAGTATTTATGCCTAAGTGAAACGCCCAAACAAGTCACTTAAGGGGAAAAAAATCCTTCTTTTAGTTAGAACAATTTTTACCGTCATTTGAAACATTAAAGACTTTTATAAATTTAGACAAAGCCCTCAAATATAATGTTTTTTCAATCCTAAATATTTGGGAGAAACTAGGTGACTGTTTAGGGAGAAAGAAGTAACTTCTGAAGCAGTGCCACATTGAGTACCACACAGGTGCTTTCTCTCTAGCCAGACTCCCTAAAAGCACAGCTTGCTTGCCGCTGCTCCCTCACCTAGCTCAGCCCAGCGTGCATTTAGTATGTCAGACTTTTCTCAAGGTGCAGGAGCCACTCAGGCTGCACATTTCATAACAGGTAGAGTTTCTAGATGCCTAAATTAACCGCATGACCTGTGGTTTTATATACGGTATGTTCACTGAAATAGTATTCTCAGCATAACAACTCCTAATTCTTGTTCCCTTATTATCTTGTAAAAGTGATGAATAACATTAATACTATGAAGACAACTTTCTTTTTGCCTTTTTTAGGCTGTAGAGCTTCAGTATGAGAATTCTGTCTTGACACAGAAAATTCAGCATTTCTGTAAATGAAATATAATAAAGTATACTGAAAAGAGGGAGGCCCCAGCCCCAAGAGAAAAACATGTGGCTCCCCCTTCTTCCCCATTTTGTCATTTTTTCCCCCCCAACTTGGGAATCAAAAATCTCCCTAAGTGCTGAATTCTTAAACAGACTTGGATTTTGTTGTAAAGGCAGACAAAGTAACACTTTTTACTTGATAGGGCTACATAGTGTAACTTGAATCCTGAGAAATGCATCTACATAGATATTAAAGTATAAAACAAACTGGACTACATATTTCCTTTTGTTTTACTGTATAAAAATAGCCTAAGTGGTGAACCATCGAGGAAATTATACATTAAAGGTGTATTCCAGAGCTACATGTCGGAAGGGTACGTTTCAACTCCAGTTCCCAGTCAGGGGCAAAGGGGCTGTATACTCTGATGCTAATGTATACAGTACTAATCGGTAAGTTTATGTAACATTTCCTAATAATTTCTCCTCTAATTTAAGAAGTCAGTGGATGGTTTGGGTTTGTTTACTGTGAAGGACCATAACAAACACTTTCTCTTCCCAGAAACAGGTGAATGAATGATCTGTTTAGTATTTTGACACATTTAACTAATAGGCTTTCTGTGATGGATCTACTATAAAGTTATTTTGAAAAACATTGTTTATGAAAACCATGGTTCATGGTTTATGAAATTTTACAATAAGAAAAGGCATCAAGGACACTGTTAAGGTTTCTATAAACAAATTGAAAATATTCACGTTTTAAATGTCCAAAAAAAGCCCACTTTAAAAACTGATATAGTAATAGCAAATGTATTTGCTGTTAAGACCAAAATAAAGCCTAGACTGATCCTGTAAGCACCCTAGTTATGAACTGTTCAACACAGTTTAGTGTTTTGGGGGAAAACAACAGAGATGCAGAAAATGCCTAAGAAACAAAACTTTTAGTTCAGATATACCTCAGCACAGCTAACTGGGCCATCTAACAAAAAGCACATACACACACTTAAAACTCTACAACTATGCAATCGAAGAATAAATTAAAATGGCAATACACAAAGTGTTACTTAACATTTCCCTCAAAAACATCATCCCTGGCAGGCCCCAAATGAGCTGTTGGCCCACAGAACCAAAGAACTTGGAATAACATCTGGAAATGCTACTCTTCCTTGTTACAGAGAACAGTCCCTAACGGGAAAACTGGTAAGTATTTCACAGGCTACTAGTATTTAATCATGAAATGCTAAGATTATTTAATTCCTTGAACAATATAATAAAAGGAAACTAGTATGTGGATATCCTGTATATAAAGAGAAGTTATATTCAGAACACTGAAAAAGCACTAATACTTTCTTCATGCTGCGCACATACTGGGAATATTGTTTTACAGTAGATATGCAACAGTTTGATAGGACTGCTTTTCCCCACATATTTATGGTTTGATTTAGGGCACTGAAAACACTTGCACATGAGTTTCAATTTAAATTTACAGTGAAAACT